TCAATTGTGGTTGAGAGTATATTTTCCAAAACTTGGTGCGCTACCATCTGTTCCTCCTAGGTCGGTCAGTAGTTACGGGCTATTCATCAACCAATAGAGCCCTATTAACATGTCTAATAGAGACGTTTTCACATTCTTTTATAACTTAAATTCAATCCCTTCTTTTTTTCCTTTCTCTGTTCACCAAGTTCCAATTTACGTGCAACCTCCGTCTACTATGAATGATGACTTTTTTGCTCATTTGGGCTCAATACTGGATTGGGAAAGAATTGTTCCATAACATCTTGACTTGAACAAATGATAAGGTAGGGGTTGAGATATATGGTCCCCAATTTGTTGCTCGTCAGCTTGGTTTTGGCTAAATGTGGTATGTTCCTTCCTATTTTTTCAGGAATCTGACAGAACGTTTTCACACCATCAATAAAATAGAGGTACAAGCCATTGATGCTCGCAATGCCTTTTTGACAAATGGTATCTCCTTAGCCCTTTTCAACCCCACCTTTGTCATTCACCCTCTCTTTGAACAACTCTGGCTGTCTATGAAGCGTAGGTTGTTTACAATTGATGCTAACCGCGCTTTCCACCTCCTGGAGAGGACATGGACTTCTTCCATTTCTCCTATTCATGTCGCTCCTATATCTGTCAGGAATCCTACTTCTCATTCGAAATCCCCACCTGCTCAAACTGGAACAGCTAAAGGTGTTTCCAACCGTAAACGACCAGCTTCAACTTCGTCAGGTTTGCCCGATGACGATGATGATGCTCCTCTCGTCGTCGGGAGAAAGGTATTTAAGTTTGTTTATACATGAAAAATCCTTTTATTGTTAATGTTTTACTTGGACTTCTCAGAAAAGCTCAACTTCTCCTTTGAAGATCCTGCCTTTACCGGTTCTTGCTCCACCACCTTCCATCAAAGCTTCTTCGTCTAAGTCATTTGGTGAAGGGACTTTACCTAAGGAGAAGCCCATAGGCCAAGAGTCTTTAATTGCACATCCAATTGGAGAACTTCCACCTTTCTAGGGCGCTGACGCCATTTATGGTCTTTTCCATTGTTTGTGTTATTAGCCTTTAACTTATTATCACTTGATTCTTGCAGAGATGCCCATAGATCTGCCCATTGTGGAAGAGCCTATTCGTTTAGATAAAGGGAAGTCCCCACAAGTGGTCGGATCAACCAGTGATGTGCCCCAATTTTCCAAAGCTACCGATGAGGTAACCTTTGTTTTATTTTTCATTTTCACTTCGTTCACTGTAATGAAAATGCTAAATGCTTGCATTTTTCTTTACATGTCGCTGATGCCATTTTACGCTCATTCAGGATTTGTTTACTTCTTGGGAACAAGCAAGAGCAAGGGTTACTTCTCGTTCCTCTTCAGCTAGTCATCTTTCTGCCTCATCTGCTACATTCTCAGTGGAAAATATGAACATTCTCAAACAATCAGTACTTGAATATGTTTCCTTCATGGATATGGATATCATCAACGCCAGTGCTTCTAGCTAAAGAGATAAGTTTAAGCTTTTAAGTGCAAAAATAGCTCAAGCACTCAAGCTTCCTTCGCTTAAAATTTCATCCAATTTTAAGCTGACGTTGAAGATTATCCACTCAGAGATAAGTTCTTTGCTAGCCAGAAATATAGAGTTAAAAGCCAAGAAGACTCAATATCTTCTTACTGCAAATGAAAATGAGTCTTTGCTTTATGAGATTGAGAAGACCAAGAGCAATCTAAACGAAATCTCCTCTGAGGTTACGGTTGAAGATTCTTTGATGATGAGCCTGGCCGCAGAGATGAAGGAACTTCATGCAAGGAAGGATGACTGTAAGGCTATGTTAGTCGCCAAGAAGTGTACTGTTTCCCAAGAAGTTGAGCGAGATAAATATTTGGTTGAGCATTACTCGAAGCTGGAAGTTGATGAGGAATTATGACCGAGCTATCCACTGCTTCCCATGAACAGCGCGAAGAATGTGATGACAGTCAATTTCATCAATGGAATGATTATTTTATTCACTTGTGTGATGGATTCCTGAAACAGCTTAATTAACGTTTTATTTAATCGTCAATTATTTAAGTATTAACCTTATGATATATTCATGTACATTCCCCCTTGTGGAATCTTTATACGAAATGAAACTTTTGGTATTCCGACTTTTCTCTCCAAGATTTGAACCTTCAATTTCGATTATTGTTCATGTATACGGCCATTCACATTCTGACCGTTCGTCTTCAAACCTGTATAAAGTTGCGTATTTGTTACACATTCATCGTCTTCATCCCCATTCTCCACAAAACCAATATGTTGCCATCATCTGGCATTCAAATCATCAATTTTCTATATCCAGAAGATCAACTATTTCCTTTTTCAACAGAAATGAACCATTTAATCTTTTCCCAATTTCACC